AATATATATATATATAATAATAATATATATATATATATATATATATATATATATATATATATATATATATAAATAAAGACAATCGATTTTTAAATGTCACCAAGTTTCTACATTGAAACTTGCGTGAATAGAATCTTTTGCAAAGTTATTGGAAATAGAGTTGCAATATTAATTGCAATCTCATGACACGAGTATATCATAATTGAGACAAGCAATTACGCGTTTTGTATGTCGTAATTTTTCTCCGCTTCTAACAAGAAGAACGGAAATTGACAAACATTTTCACGAAGAAAAAAGTCCAGAATTAATCGACGCAGCATCACTTCATCTCGTGACGCGTATCGGGAGCATGAAAACATATACGTGTGTCACGCACGCTATCGTTCGTAATATTACGCGGGAGAAAGAGATAGGGTACGTCGTATTGATCTCGAGGATTCAACAAACAGCACCTAGTACCTCCCGCTCGTTCCTCTCTAACTCTGTCTTGCTTCTCCACCCAGTGCCAGTCCCGCCCCTCACCATCCCATTCCCTTTTTCCTTCGCCGTTGCCTCTCCCTGTCTCTCGTCGTGTTCCATACCATTCGATTCGCTCTTGCGTATACAGGATTTGATGAGGGCAAGCAACCCTGCTCGGACGATAATCGCAATTCCATTGTCGAGCTTTCGATCGCCGTCGGTCTTCTCTTGATACTTCGCGTAAAGAATCCGTCTCTTTCCGTATTTTCGTTATGACGGAAAATAAGATAGATGATTTTTTTTTTTTTTATATCGCAAGATGATGATATCTGGCAAAGTGAAATCTGGCCGTGGAATTTCTTACACTTTCGAAAACGCAATAATGCTAAAAATAATTATGATATCTTTAGACTTTTTTTTTAATTTTTGATAAGAGAACCTATCAATAGTTTATTTTTGGCTGTGAGAAAAAGAGTTCATGCAATTTTTACGTTCAATAGATAAAAGCGATTATATTTACTTTGCTCTATGTGTTGGACTTTGAGTACGACAGATCACTTTCACATATGTAAAATTTTAGTTATTTCTATTAAACAACGTCGTGGTTTTAAATCAATTTATAACGACGCAGTCGTTGAACGGCGGATATGATTTCCTAGAAGAGGCAAGCGGCGGGAAGTCGCGCGTGGGGGTAATTTAGTCATTCGTGAAAAGTAAGCATTCCGAGGGAATATTAATTTAACTAGCAGGGAGCCATTTCAATCCATCGATCTGGCGGCGCTTGTTAACAGCGCGAGTGCCTGTCTCGGGTTAGCAGATTGCCGATTTCCGCGGCCGGACGAACCGCGGCGAGCGAACGAGCCGGCGAGCGAGCGGGAGGAAGTCTGTCGTGACACGCGATGGCTGGGCCTATGACCATCGACCACGCGATGCCGCGGTCGCGTTTACCCTCGTTGCGAACCCCTGACAAAACAAACCCCGCCGGCTTATCCAATTCCGCGGTGTTTCCACGAATTTCTTCCATCTCGTGTCTCGTGCTTGACGCTCGCAACCCCCCCGTAAATGGAGGCAGAGCTTCGCATTTGTTCTCAGCAAACCCTCGGCTCACTTCTTCTTCCCTGCCTG